AAAAAAAAATTTACTTATGTAATATGGGCTTAGTTTCAAAGTAAAATTTTTCACAAACAAAAGTAGAACTTCAAAAAACTTTTTAGTAAAATTTCAAGAAAATGATGAAACAAAATAAAATTTCAAAGTAAAATTTCAAAAGACAAAAATAAAATTTCAAAAATTTTTTTAGTAAAATTTCAAAAAACTGATGAAACAAAATTCATTTTTGAAAAAAAAATTACTTTTGTAATATGGGCTTAGTTTACAAAGATGCTAATTATATTGAAAAAAAACTCAAATTTGAATTTTTTGTCACAGGTGTTGATTTTTCAATTACATGGCAGAATACGAGACCATACCTGCAATAGATGTAATACCAAAATATAGCTCGATGGAAACACCAAAGAGCTCGGCAATTTTTATAGAACAGATTTGGAAAAATGAACAATAAAATATAGTTTAATATTTTATAAAATTTGGTAATTTTATCATAATCCCTTTGAGAATACCGTGAAAACCATTCATTCAATTAAATTAATTTACTTTTTCATTTTGTATTTTGCACTAAATTTGAGGAAATAAAAACTATAATTTTGAAAACCAAATTTCTGGTAAACAGTTACCATATGAGGGTTAAAAGTACAAAATGATTGCCTTAAGTACTGTAGACTTTGATTTAATAGCCGGAATATGATTTTTTTCCCTTTTATTCTATATTTTCCTTTTATTTATTTATTTTTACCAGGAATATCATTACTGAGCAATACGGTATTTTTACCAAACTTCATTTGCCATGCATTACTGTGCAAACTTGCGTCAATATTAATAAAATGTTTAAACAATAACATGATTTTTCGCACTGCATTATTTTTTGTAGAAAATTTGAAAGATATTATCGTCTAAAGCTGCTTTCTGAAAACAAAACTGTGCTCTTTTAATGTTACAGAAGGCACTCGTTTTCCTTATCTTTTTTCCTGAAGCGCATATATTTAATGAATGCAACCTTTTTTTTTAAAAAAATAAGCTAAAATTTCTACCAACTGATGAAAACTAATTGAAGTAAAAAGGAAAGACCACTATGAGTCTTCGAGCTAATCCAGTTTAGTATGATCAAATGTTGAAAATAATAAATAACGAATTTATTTTTATAAATAAAATCTTTATTTCAACAAAACATTTTCAAATATTTACACAATGACATTAAACAACTTGAGCTTTAATATTCATATGCATGCCTAGAATACAAATTATTTTGGCATAATATTTTAGATACGTACATTTTTTTAATCAAAAATTTGAAGCAACAATGAAAGAACATTGGGTTTTGAGCAATTCTTAAAACAATTATTTACGACTGATTTATTTTCAAATAAACAGGTGATTAAAAAAAAATTTTTTTTAAATATTCACAATGAATTCGGTTTAATTAAGATTAATTAAAGTTTAAAAAATTCTCTACGAAATCTGTTAAAATGATATTTTAGAAAAGGCATTAAGGTAACTTAAGGGGTTTTGTAATTAATGCAAGTAATGCGGCAATATTTCTGCAAACCTGATGCTATGATGTAAATGATGTAAAAGATATACAGATATTGAACATGATTGCGACACGTTTTTCATGGTAAATAGGTATAGATGTTTTTTTTTAATTTCCTAATTTGTGATGAATGGTCCAAAAAAATATTACATCTTCATAAATACTGTAAGTCTTCAAACATTTTGACTTAATTTTGCCCCATAGTCACTTGAATCGATATTTCTCGAAAAGAAAATCTGCTCGTACATATATAATAGAAAAAGATCTTAGATACATTTATTTCTGCGTTTTTGTAAAGGAAAGAGAAATAAAAAAAAGAAAAAAAATTCTTTGGAATACCCATTTATTCTACAACAATATTATTTACTATCCATCATTCAAACTTTAGTGGTTATCAAAGAATTAAAAAGAAATATACTCTGCTTTTTAAACAGTTAATAGATAGAAGTCCTTTAGAAATACAAATCATATTTAAAAAATCAACTTTTCGTATCTTTATGTCAATTCACAACGTGGTATTTGATGATAAAATCGAAAAAAATAATTTTTATTTAAGCTTCCATAAAAGAGCTTTTGTTTAGTCTAAACAGTGAAAAGTAATAATCCTTCAATTGGAAACCAAGAGCAGAAGCTCATATCATTTGAATAATGTGTATGCCGAGAAAAAAAAATATGGTCTAATCTACGAGAATCGGAAAATTTACTGAGTTTCTGACTCCTTGGGAACACCAAAAAGCTCCGTATTTTAACCGATGTGCTTTAATCTCTGGTAAAATTTAGCAAATGTGAAAGAAATTGGCAATTTTATCTTGTCACTTCTATATGGTGCGGAAATTTTTCCGGATTTTTTCCTCCGTGTGGTCAGATTATGATGGGTCACGCATGTCTATAACAATTTCAGTCATTTCTAGGAATTTTCCGATTTTGCACTGAGTGACCAGGCATAATACGTTTGCCACACTTTTGATAATGTAATAAATATAAATTTATAATAGTTTTTTTTCAATACTTTTAAAGATAGATTATTTTTCTGTAGATGGCACCACTATGGTAAAGTTTAAATTCAATCATAATAATGATATTTCCTTTTAGAAATTTTGAATTAGTCGTTTAAAATGGGATTTATGGGGTGAAATCTGGGTAACTAAATTTATTAATATTTATTGAGGATGGTATTATAACTTCTATAGGGTATTAGTGGGTTTATGACTGTTTTTTCTCAGGGTCTTTTTTTTTTGGTTCTGACGTCCGCCGGATGCGGGATGACTCTGGATTTGGTAAACAGGTCAATCTAGATTCTTTCGCCTTGCTGAAGGGAGGATAAAAGAGAAGTGAAGAGTATGGCTAAAGGCAGTAACCTGGAGGATACGGAGCTTGTCCGCTAGAAGGGTGGTCCGCGACAGCACCTCGGAGATGGTGGATCGTGAGCTTAAGGAGAGCTAAACTGAAGTCTCTAGCGGGAAGAACGACCGTGATTAGCCGAAGGCCGATATGTTCGAGACGGTTAGCCAAGTCCGAACGTATCTATGCTGGAAGTCCAGTGTTCCCCTTCTACATGCCTAAGCCTAATGAAGTTAGAATAGCTGGAGAAATTTTGAGATCCTAGCCGAGGAGTTTGCCATCTACCATTCCGGCGGGCGTTTCCAGAGAGCGAACAGTAAATTCTTTTGGGTACTTATAAAACTTTAAATTTCATTTCGTTAACATTTTAGAGGAATCATTTGCCGTAAATTCTGAACTGTTTATGTTGCGTTTTTTTTTTTTTTTTTTTTTTTTTTTGTATAGGAGAACAATGAGTATTTAAGTGTGATTTATAGACATAATAACCCAAGTCTTAAGTGCTTTTAGTAATGTTAAATGAAGTTTTTAGTTCTTAAATGTCTTTTTTGAACTGTATGAATTGAAGGTTATGCTTGAGTGTTTTAAGGTTGCATGTTGTTTTAATTAATGCATGAAGGGAAGTGTTTATTCCCATGTTAGCATTTCGAAATAATTGTGTGGAATTATGTTTTTTGAAGATTTAGAGTTGCAATAAAAATGAGTTTTAAATGTTAAGAGTTTCCTGTAATTCATTCGATACTTGCCTACTGTATAACCTGGGTAACCGTTACTAAAGTTAAATTTAGAGATCACAGCTAGAGGGGTAACGGTACAATAAAGATCAATTTTTGCACTCTACATAGTGTGCAAAGAGAAGCCCTGAATTACTTTTTATTCATTGATCGGATTTATTTTCAAGTACTGGTTAAGAACTGGTTAATAACTAGCTCTTAATGGTTCACTTTGGTGACTCAAATAAGCTAATAAATAATTATTGCAAACGATATTTTAGGGGAAGAATTTTAAGGGAAGATATTTGACACAACAACTCACTGTCTTTTGATAAACATACCCTTTTTTCGACCGATTTGGTTTTCTTGCCCTCAAAATATCTAGGGTAACAGGAATACCTCTAAATTCTTATCTTACTTTGTGTATTTTTCCATATCTTGAGAAATTTTTAAACAAATCAAAAATTTTCGCACACAGCTATAAAATTCCTCTTCCAAAGATAATTCGATGCAACAATATTTTTCGAACCATTATTTATTATTTTAACAGATAATTTTCAAAAAGTCTTGAATTCTTACATATACTGTTTTTTACATCATTTTAAAGAATGTAATTTTATATGGCGAATTAGAAATTTTGACGAAATTGATTTAATTATTCCTGAAAAATCAAATTTTAAAATACGTCATTTTTACAATTTTAAATCTTTTAGTATTAAATTAGAATTCAAAATTATAAAAAATAAACTATAAATAATGAAAAATATGAACAGTAAGAAATTGGAAACAATAAAAAACAAAAAAATGTCAAAAAAATAAATTACCGATAAATAATTATTTAAAATATTTACGGAATAGAATTATCGTTTCGAAAATGTGTTTCAGAATTATGTGCAAAGTTTTTTAATTCGATTAAAAAGTTCACAAAAATTTAAATTAGCTTTAAGGGGTGCAAAATGGTAAGTTTGATGCAGCTTACCCCTCCCCTCTATTCTGAGGATAAGAAATACGAAACTATTTGTAAAAAGGTATGTTTTTTTTTAGAGAAAGTACGCTTTTCTGTCTGATTAAGAATTAATATCGCCAAGAAAAATAACTTCGCATATTTGAGCTCACTCTCATAAGGCATTCAGATTTAGTCTCAGCATGCGAAAATCCAAAATCCAATCATTAAATCAAAAGTTATTCAGAGTGTTCTGTTTCTTTTTTTAGCATGATACTTGCGTTTAACCTGACATAATTGATATAATATGTTAACTTTGACTTTCATGTAATGAGTTGACAAAAAAAATATAATATAAAAATTAACCATTATGTTTGATTTTTTGTGTTATATTTTACTTACCTGGCATGATTTTTCTTTTACTTCTATCTTTACAATATAGTTTTATAGCAATCTCAATATGATGGATACAATAGAGCCTTAAATGTGACCTTGAACTTAGTTTAATCTATTTTCATTTGAAAATATCTGTTATTTACATCCAAAAACGTTTTTTTACAGTTAGCAAGTTTAGTCTTTCAAGTTTAAATCATGATACATATGATTTAAAAAAGTATTGAGAGTACACTAACAGAATATACGCCAGTGGGGACAGAAAATCCAATCCTCTATTTGAAAAGTTTCCATTGCCTGCAACAAACATATTCGATTAGTAGAGAACTATTGGAATTATTTTTTTTAAATAAAAATTGGAAATATACATTTAGTTTCAATTTGTTCATAAAATAATTATTTAAGCATAACTAAGTTCACTGATAGACCAGCTCTAATTTCCTGGCACCCTAATTTGCACTGACGTATTTTAAAAATTTATAATAGAATAACGTTTAAGATTACATTTATAATAGAAACCGTTTTTCAACTCACAGTTACAGGTTTAGCTCAAATTTTTCCCCCGTTCTCGGCGATGCCTTCCACTGTTCTTGTCCATTTTTTGTGCTGCTTTAATAATATGATGTATAATAGATACGGATGATAGAGCTTATGAAAAAAATTTTAATTTGATTTTCATTTATCAAAAGTATTCAAGATTTTGTAATGCAAAAGCAAAACACGAAAGGGTTAATTTTCTTCCAGTAAATTCTTGTTTGTTAATTTAATTCTGATTTAGAATGTATGAAAAGAATATTTTAATGTGTCCATTTTACTCTCCAGAATGTGTTCAAAAGCGTACTGAGCGTACCTTAGAGCAGTTCCTAAATGCTATAAATGATTTTTTTTAACTTTGCTTCTTGTATATGATTGGTATATAATAATCAATATACTAAGTAATAATTACTTTTTTATTGGGTTTAGCAGGTCATGCGAGCTAAGAATTACGTATCTTATTTACCATATCTGTTCTGAAAAATTACCTTTTATAAAAAATAAAAAATTACCTGAAAAATTACCTTTAAAAAATACCTTTTATAACAATTTAAAAAACAATATGAAGGAAGCTCGTGTTACTGATTTCAAGTTACGAATGACAATAAAAGCAATAATATTTGTTAAGGTTTTACTTTATTAATTATTATTTAAAATTTGTGAATGGTGCTAAACGTTATTCTAAATATTCTAAGTATTATTTGTTAATAGTTTCTTTTATTCAATACAGGAATTATCTGAAATAGAAGCTCATTTTAACAATGAAGAAAAAATATTTCTTTTAACTTTCATCTCTTATTAAAAACAATTAATCTTTTATTATTATGTACAAAGAAAAATGATGAAATCTTTAAAGGAGCATAATGTTTATTTATTACTTGTTTAACATACCTTCCTTTTCTAGTGTATGAGAAAAATCTTCTTTTGGATGAATACTTGAGTGTTGGTCAGCTGGATCCTGATCAGAATAGTCTAGGAAATTATTCAAAATGTGAACATAAATCGAAAGAAAATTTTATTATGTCAGAGTAAAGACATCAAAATCAAATATTCTAACAATAAGAAAACAAGTTACAAAATAAAATGATATTTGAATAGATAGTCACTCAATCAATTTCAATAGCAAAAGGTAAGAACTTTTTAGTATCTTTCACATTAGATCATTATATCAAAGTTCACTACCTATTTCAATTATTCCTCATATATAAAGCAATATAAAGCAATTATTTTAAAATTGTATTTATTTTTTCAAAACACTTATTTTTTAGCTTATAGAATTATTTACAGTAAATAAATCTGCCCCATAAAGGCAAAACTGATTACTTTCTGAAAATATAGAATATACTCATGATGTTTCAATCTGAAATTAAAAATGTGTTCTAGATTTATATTTAAGTCTATTTATATTTGTTTTATTCAATAATTAAGTTATTTTTGTTATTTAGTTTAAGATTGTTCCATGAAAATAAAAATTTAATTTCAATATTCCAATTGAAGATATTTAAAAAAATTGCAACAGATACATCTTATTGAAACAGAATTATTTGTATCCTAGTTTCTTCTTGCATGAAATATTCAGTGTAATAATTTCTTGTTAATCAGGCCGAAGTCCCACATACAAAAAGACTTATTGTTATAGACTTAAAGTCTTATAATCGTGTCCAGAATTTCCTTAAAATTTAGTTATATGTGAAGAAACTCATAGTTTTATATTAGCATTAATTGCAGAATTTACTTAACTAAACAATATTTAACACAATGGACTAATGTGTTGTTCGCTCAATGAAAATTCCAATTTATCTTTATTTATTTCGTTCATTCATTCAAATTTATTTTTAAAAAACATTATTCTATTTAGTGATTTTATAGATAAGTTGCCAAATGCTAAGTAAATTTCATTAATGCTGTTTTTAAATACAATACATTTAAAAATATATATTTCCTTCGAAGTCAAATATTTTTTTCTCTCTTTGAACCACAAAGTTAACCGACATAAAAATTTTAATGCAATAAAAAAACTGAAACTTACGATACTTTTCTAGTTAGTTTAAATGTCACACTTTAGAGTTTTTTACTTACTTAATATTCTTTAGGTGGAAAATAATGTAATTTTATAAAAATATTTTAAGCTTAAAGCAATTAGTATAATAATAAATTTAAGAAAATTGTTTTTAAATTCGCTTTGCACTAATAGAAGTATATTAATAAAAATAGCACACTTTATATGTTACTTTAGCATTCAAACGCAATCCTTTTAAATTTATTCTACATTAAATCAAATTGAAAATAGTTATTGTCCGGAAACTATTTCTGTTGACTGTTTTAAAAAGATTTTTTTGGATATTACTTTTTTATAGTAATCACATTGCCTATTACGTCTACTGAAAGTTTTCCATCGATCCAATATTTGATCAAAAATAAAGTAAAAATGTATAAAATTTCTGTTCTTATTTTAATTAGGCAATAATTTGCGGAAGTAGCTTTTATTCAAACTCTTAAGCTTGAGGAATGCGATAAAAAAACATGAATTGTTCGAAAATAACACTCTATAAATTTAACTTACTTTTTTCTTTGTGCTTTTTGAAATTATTCTGGCCATTTCGTAATTTTTCTGATTTCGAAAGATGTATGTCCTCTCCTGAGGCAATCATAACAGACGAAGGAGGGGGAATTTCTAAAAAAAGAAAAAAAAAAGGAAATGTATGTTTCATAAATAAAAACTGAGTGGGTGTAAAAATAAGTACGATTTCTTTTATATTTTAATTCCCATGGAAGTACATGAAATACAAAAAATTGCATTAAGAAAAGAATTTTAATAATCGTAATCTTACGTTTTCGGTAATATTTAGAGTGCTTCAATTTTTTTCCTCAAATAATATTAAATTATAAAAGAATTCCATAATCTTCTATGTGATATTTTAAGGAACATTGAAATTTCTTATTTCATTAATATTATTTATTTATTTTATGTGATTCGTAAAGGAATTTTATCTATTTCTTGTAATAATAAAAAGATATACAATTTTTCCGTTATCATTCATTAACTTTGAGGTTGACATTTAAGTTTAATAATTTCAAGCACTTTAAAGTGGTCCAGCTTTCTGTTATGCAATTAAACTTATGATAAGATTTAATTGCAAACAGGAGAAGAAACACAGCAAACAAACTGAAACAATTAAATAAAGTAGTTTTACCAGTACGGGAAAAGAAACAAGTTTATTCCAGATAAAATTTCAAATAAGTGACAAAGTACAACAAACAAGTTGAAACAGGGAAAGAAAGTAGTTTAACCAGCAAGGGAAAAGGAAGAAGTACGTAAACGAAACCTTTAACAGATTGTATGGTTACTGTGAAAATTAGCTGTAGATAACCTTGCAAATTGTGATTTAGCAAAGAATGTCCGAAATTCTTTATATACACAACAATTAATGACAGTATGAAGTTTGTTTGGTAACAAAGATAATGGATACATTGCTAACATTATTTTTATGTCTGCTATTGATAATACAAATTATGGAGTACTGCTGTTGACTGATTGTTAAGACACGGTTTCTAGAAGATCACCGGCGTTAAGCATCACTGTCAGCTAACAAAGAGTGGGTGGGTGATCACCTTGATCAACCTTCGAAAAGAAAAGGGGGTGATATCTATTCTCGTTAAAATGTTCTACTTCAAAGCGTCTATGTGTCTGACTTTGCATGCAGGCTGTTAAGTTAGAAATGCGGGGCAACCATTCCTTTGCATTGGTGGCATGTCTTCGGATCATTCTCCGATATGTTACACATACCATTGCTTGTAGTTCACTGAGCAGCTGTTGTGCGACGCAAATAAAGTGATACTACTGCTAAAAATTACGGATAGCAAAAATGTAAACGTAAAAATATTAAAAATACATTATACTATTGATTTGCTGTTCTACATTTTGTGACTCATCAAGCATTCATGATTATTATAGTTACAACTTCATTTTAAATTTCTGTATTCTTATACTTCTTCTATACTTCTTCGTTAAAAGAATATCAAAGAAATATTGTGTAGAGAAGAATATTGAATTTTACATTTTAAAGCTTAAAAAGATATAAAGCAAAAATTATAGTGTAATTTAATACCATATAATCGTATCGTCCCTTGTGTTTCCCCCAACGAATTCTTAGCAACACAAGTGTATGATCCATAATCCTTACATTTTAAAGCTTAAAAAGATATAAAGCAAAAATTATAATGTAATTTAATACCATATAATCGTATCGTCCCTTGTGTTTCCCCCAACGAATTCTTAGCAACACAAGTGTATGATCCATAATCCTCTGGCTGCAAGTTTTGAATGTATAACTTCAATTGAAATTTGTACAAAACTGTTGGTTGGACTTCAATTCTGAACTTTGAGTTAGACAAGACCATAATCCCTCCCTCCTTTATCCAATATGTTACAGATCTTGGATGAGATTCTAAGTTGCACTGAAGCAAAACATTGGTTGATACAGGAGCTCCAACAAGTTGATTGGGAATCCATATCATCGGAGTAACTACAATAATCATAAATGAAATGTTTTTTGTTTCAATAATTTAAAGGCAGATTTAATAAAAACATAAAAATATTAACCGCAATACATCAAAATCAACAAAGTAATCAATAGATTTTTAAACCATGCATGACCTCAAAACTAAGATTGTCCTTCATTTATATTTTATGTTCTTGGAAAAAAAAATTTTTCCTACTGAACTAATGAAATTAAATTTATGAAAAATAACACCTGATTGTTTTTTTTTTTTTTATGACTTTGACTTTTGTGATTATAGTTCAGGTTTCATTGGTAAGAAAGCATTACTAACTATTTTCTTAGCAGGAAATTTGTGCATCAATCAAATATAGTTTTACACCTTGCCATATTTTTTCTAGCTTTATGCATTTTATGTTTTCCATTATTTTAACTTCTTCAAATTTCTCTTCATAGACTTTCACTTCATTTGCAAATTTGATGCAATCGCAGAAAAATAATTGCGGCAAAATAGTTTTTTGAAATGTAAATCTTGTGTAACTTATAATAAAGATTTGTAGAAGCAAATTTTAATTATAAAGAATAAACATTAAAGCTCAGATTTTTTTTCTTATTATATACTCAAAAGGCATTTGAAATTATTCTTAGAAATTAGTGAGAAATTTTAAAGTTTTCTTTTCAATTAGCTATACATAATTTATAAAGAAACATTTATAATATATTTAACAACTGCTTAGGATGAATTTCATTTCAAGTAGAATCTTGATTTGAAACACATATTTGCATTGCTATAACTATCTAAACAAAAAAAAACATTTATCTTACTCCGCAAAGCTTTAGAATTTCTAACATATCTTTTTAAAGTGATAAATTGTTAATAAAAATTTGATCAAAACTGTTTAATTTTGAAGTATTATGATACTGCGTATTATTTGAAAATTATTTTTTACTGTAACACTCCATGCAATTTTTAACATTTAAGTATTAACTAATTTTAGTGTAAAAAATAGATATTTTTAACCATTTGAATGTAAGAAAAATTAATCCTCGAAACTAAAAATATTTCAAGCGTATATTAAAAAAAATCATCTTGTTGGCACTTGATTTTTAGATTTCACGCACTTATTTAGTAGTAAAAAAGTGGTCGCAATTAATAAAAATAAATAACTTACAAGTAACACCTAAAAGAATTCTTTTGCTTAAAGATGGAGGGACTCCATTTGAAAATATACACAGGTAGGCTCCCATATGAAGACGAGTTACTTTTGTAATGTTTAAGTAGCGCCCCTTAAATGAGGTTACTAAAAAGAACATATAAATTATGCATTAATTTTCGTAGAAACTATATATATATATATATATATATATATA